ATTTCGGTATAATTTAGCTGGCAGTACGGTACGTAGATCATTAGCATATTAGCAAACTCATTAGAATTTTTAACCCCGGTTGTTGGAAAACGTTCTAATGTGGTGTTTTTAATATAATTATTCAGTAATATAACGGAAATTTCTACCACAATCAATATCATTATGAGACTACCAAGTCACTTTAGCCCTAACCCCCATAAAACAACTCAAAACATTACTCTTAACATTACTATAATCATACTATAATCATCACCATCATCACCATCATCTACCCATTTTCACACTCACCCACACTAACCTTGGAGTATTTATTCGATTAAAAACGCACACCAAAGATTAGCCTTGCTTAGGTGGTGAACATGTTATTCGCAAAGCATCATGGTAATGAATATATTACACTCAGAAAAACTGCACAACACAATTTTAATTTCTACCACCATGTATGACTACCATTACAACCACCCACACCACCGCCACCAAAACAATAAAAAAAAATTAACACCCATTATAAAACTCATGAGCAATTAATGATGAAAACACAATAGAAATCATTGTCCGTGGAGGAGGTTGTATATCTGATACAAAATCGTCCTGATTTGCATAAACTTTAACTCCAATTTTCTTAGCCAAATTCAATTTTATCTTTAAAATTATAGTACAACATGAATGTATACACCTAGACGTTTTATAAGTAATATACAATATTCGTGTCCGTGTTGTATCAGATATAGAATCACTCGCCTTCGGCTCGTGGTTGTATATCTGATACAACACGGCCACTCATACTGTATATATTACTTAAAAATAATTTTGTCATTATAGACCTTAGAACAACTGTAACTTGTGACGAAAATTACATGCAGTTTGACTTGAAGGACGCGTACTTCTCTGATATTGATTGGCGGAATCTGCACTTGACAGACCCATCATGTAGAGCAACAAAAACAGCTCATACAAAGAGACTACGTGCACCTTTAGATCGATGTGGTACGACATACACAGAAAACCAGAAAACAATCACATTTTGGAACGAGGTAAATCAGTTGAACGGGATCAGCCAGCAGGAAAAAAATACTCAGCAAATTTTATCCGGATGGATTTATCTATAAAGGATTTTCACCATACTATCACGTGATGGTAGTCATGACAGGAGGCACAAGCGTGCATGGAGTTTATTTTTTCCATGTTAAACTCAATTCGATCTCCTATGTAAACCAGATAAGACCATATTCCATTGTTCCGGCCTCCTGTCATGGTTGCCACCACATAAGCCTCAATCAAAACGTAAAACATGTCTCGCACTTATCATAAATCTTCAAAAAAGAGACCGATATCAGAGCAGATTTCGAGTAACTCTCTGAAAAACTGACGGTTCGAACGTGTGATGCATTCTGATTGGATGACCAGTTATTTCATGCTTTGTGATTGGCTCAAAGGATGTCTTCACTCCGTGACTGTACTTTTTATAAGTACGCAAACACCCACATTCTTACACAGTATTAATTAATGTCAGAAAATGAACAGCCAATTAAATACTGTACATATGTTGTATGCTTCAATTACAGGTGAGAACTGACAACCGCTACCAACCAGTAGTGAATGGTTCGATTATCTCACGTGACAGAAACCTTGTTTTGCGTTTCTTCTGCGAGTATGAACGAAGCCGGTTTGYCAGCACGTCCTTTTCACCTTCAAAGAAGACAGTGATCACATCTGAAGGTAATATTTATATATTTGATGCAAATTATTGTCATGCGCGAAGCATTTTCATTGCGTTGAAAGGATGAAATTTGATAGAGCGGATGCAATTAAACCGTGAAATAAAATCAAACTAAATACTAACTAATAGTATCTATTTAGTAACTAATAGTTGCTATCACTCAACAAGAACATTCATCATACAAAGACAAATACACAGGAGACCATTTGTGTCTTTTGTTTAATAGATATTYTGGTTGAGTAATAGTGACTATTAGTCACTAAATAGATAATATTAGTTAGTATTTAGTAGTTTATTGATTTTATTCCACGGTTTAATTGCATCCGCTCTGACTATAATAGCTATATGGTTAAGAAATCTGTGGCTCTCGTTTCATGATCGGATTTTAATTTTGAAATTTTGAATTTTGCAGTTCGCGTAAAACTGACATAGGATTATGAAAAACAAAAAACATATCTGCTATAAATATGTAACGATTACTGAAACCAAACTAAAGCTATTTTTACGATGCAGCACTTAGTTTTTAATCTCTCTCTACAGGATCTTATGGAAACTTCACTTTCACCATGGATCTCTACCAGACTTCTAGCTATTCAACACCCTACTCACCTTTCTCCTACCCCGTGGTTGTCTACCCAAACCAGCCTCTGTGGGTTCAGTATGAAGTCAAGAATACCAACGCTGATCTGGTGGTGTTTGCTGAGAATTGTCGTGCTACGCCTTCTAATGATCCCAATGCGACTCCACAACACGTGTTTCTACAGAGAGGGTAAGGAACTCACTCACCTTAGTGTGGACTATTAATCCTAAACGTCTTGCAAAAACTAATTAAACACTAAACAACGCTATGAGAAATTTTATTCTTTTTACAGATGCGTGCGCGACTCGACCATGAATTATTGGTACAACCCATACAGTAAAGTCCAGCGGTTCTCTATCAGATCGTTTCGTTTCGTGTATTCCAACACCTTTCTGGTGTATCTACACTGTGAGCTGATTGTCTGTCATCGTAACTCCAACAACTCAAGGTGTGCACAAGGTTGCATCAGTGGCTCCAGAGGACGTCGAGAAACTGCTGACATGGATGGCTCCAAGGCATATGACTTGTCTGCTGGACCATTGAAAGGAGGCAAGATCGAACCTAAGAGTGACAATCAAGAAAGTAAGATCTTAGTCAATGACTAGCCCTCTAGCGGGTCTGTTGGTCCAGGTCTATAGAGTTATGTCTAGCCCTCTAGGACTGTTGTCCAGGTCTATCGTGATCTATCGTTTGTCTAGCCCTCTAGGACTGTTGCCCAGGTCTATCGTGATCTATCGTATGTCTAGCCCTCTAGGACTGTTGCCCAGGTCTYTCGAGGAATATATGCCTAGCCCCTTAGGTTGTTGGGCCAGGTCTATCGAAGTCTGTAGGTTAAGCCTTTTAGCAATATAAGTAATACTGAAAGTAGTCCATTGGAATTTCCCACCATGTTATTTGCGTACTTGTTTTAACAGGTTCATTGAAGTCCAAGCAGCTCATTGGTGGACTAGGAGCCGTTGGTGGTTTGTTCTTTCTCATCACCATACTCCTCTCGGTCATTTTCTATCGTAACCGTAAGCGTGGCCAAGACAACAAACCAACCACCATCACTCTGGATGTTACTGTCAACTCGTATGAACAGGACAACGTTGACAAAGATGAGCTAGAAGAATGACAGTCAACTTAAGACTGTTTATGTATTCTCTTTTCTCTATATCTTAACATGATTGAATAGGTTCGCTTTCATTTTTGATTCCTACTCGACAAATGCGAATAAGAAAAAAAAGCTTTTTATAATAAAAGTCAGCATTTCAGAATCATTATAGACATCCTTCTTTAGGTATTAGTAGTTTTATCCAGTGATTTAGTTTGATGTGTGCGTATTTACAAAACATGCTATCAATCACTGAGTACAGGTTTTTGTCTGCCTTGTTTATGAAGGAGGTGATTTCTAGTTCATTTGGTTTCACTAGTTTATTGGTTTCACTTAGGTTATGTTAAAGTTCTTTTTTTATAGACCCAGAGGTATTTTGTCCCGTCATTCCCGTATACCCTTAGCTCAGCAAAACTCTGCTACTGTGTTTGTAATTTTCGAGAACATTTACGATTTTTCATCGCGTTAGTAGTTATTAATAAACTTTTGGATAGTAATTCTTTACGAATGCTGCGTGCCGAAGTGATTATCTATTAATTATTGTAGGCTTCTTGATGATGGTGCTACCAGTTACACGGTTCAACCCAACTGCCCGGGGGGAGGGGGGGTACACCGCCAGGATTTGGGTAGGAGTGTTCCGCTGGGATTCTGAAAGGGGTACCCTGTTTATGACAAAAAAAATCAAATTTGTAGACCCTGTTCTTCTTGTTTCAATTATCATGTCATCTCGCGTATCGTTTTTTACGACCATAATAACCAGTTTTGGGTCAATACGAAAGCAGAAACCCTGAATATGACGGGAAACTCAGGAAGAACTTGGAACTTGAGTTAAATTGAATACCCTGTTTATGACAAGAAGCTTGAAGAACCTTACCCTGTTCAGCGGATCATCCCCGTATAGTCCATATATGGGATTCCCCCCCGGGCCCAACTGGTTTATATAATTCTGATTCCTATGTCCTGAGAACTATGTCAGGGAAACCAACTTAGTCATTAGCCTCTAAGAATCACAGCGGTAGAGTGGGCAAGGGACTCTTCATGGTATTTAAGAGGCTATACAATTTGGCTCAATCTCTACTCAGTTCTTTAATAGTTAATTTTCAGTTTTCCATTTCAGCAACCCTTCTACAATTGAAATTCCTATCGAATCCGCTTTTATTCATAATACAATTGTCATTGACATGATATTTTTAGCTACTTCACTTTCGGCATGCAGTGCTCTAGCGCTACCGTAGCTAAAACGTTTTTCCATCCGAAAAGCTCGAACAAATGGTTAGTATCGGCATCATAATTTAAAATTGCGATGTAATCCAACAATTTCCCACAATTTATTATTGCAGTAACCAAAGCAAGCTTGTATTAACGCATTATATTTTAAATACAAGGTCGCTTGGGAAACCAAGTGCCTTACGCACTTTAAGCCCCTAATACCAGAAGCGATCTTCGTTAATTCTCGATATGGCTGTGCGAACTGAACTTGTCATCGATTATCACTCCAAGCACTGAATTTTGTGATTAATACCTGGATAACGTGAGCACCATTGATTGCAATTGTTGGTGAAGTTTGGGTATTCAGCCCCTGCTTAGGCCCTATTTATATATATCAGCCTGAATTATATTTTGGTCATATTTAGGGTGAGTTTATTTGCTTTAAACCAATTGTGAACATTTACGGAAGTCTTCATTTAGACTTTTTTGCAGCGACCAGCTATGAACACAAGCTTCAAATTGGTTGTCTTCAAATCTTACGTGATTATGTTAGACAAGAACAACTAAATATTACGCTAAATACACTTATTTCAATAAAGTTAGTCACCTGAAAAGCTACAAAGCTGAGACCGACAAGGATTATGGGTAGATACATTTTACATGTTTTATTGAAATAAGTGTATAAGTTAGTCACCAAAAACCTAGAAAGCTGTGATCTCTGAGGATCATAGGAAAATGTTTTATATCCAACAAGTAAAGCTTTTGACACAAACTGCAGCAGTTGAGGATGTTCAGAGGAGGTGAACTAGACTCTGCCCTTAAGTTAAGTCCAACAGTGAAAGACTTTAAACGGACATTAAAACAACATCTTATTTCAGATTTCTTAAAACCTTAATGTAATTTAAATGTACAATTTATTTATCTATTTATTTATTTACTTTATTCTTTGATCTTTTCTTTTTGCTTCTTATATAATTATATATAGTATTATTTTAATTGTAATTAATTAGGCCCTTTATTCTGAAAAGCCTTAAAGAGGACGAATAAAGTATGTATGTATGTAACTTGTAACTGGTAAAAGATCTCAAGTCCATCAATAGTTCTCAAGCGGTTGAAACAAGAAAAAAAGAAGTGTATCTCGAAAGAAGAGAAATAAGCTAAGAATTTAACCTAATTTTCTATCATTTTAGCTGATGTAAACAAACTGTGACGTCATTATGAAATAAGGCAATTGYCCAATAGTCCATTGACAGTTCTTTCTTTATAAAATTGAACACAGTATATGATATTTTCCTATTGCAATAAATCCAAAACATTCAGCAACACATCACAATAGTTATGCCTTGAGTTCAAAATGTTTCTGTGTCCTTGATGTTGAAATTTGTTGAAATAAAATCAAGTTGTAATAATTATATTCTTGGCTTTGTGATTTAATAGACAAAACTCATTTTATTCATTCATTCTGTTTATGACATACAAAAATATGAGAATGTATACAATTACCCTTCTATTCTGCCAATCATTTCTACGCTCTTACAAGCAAATTAATTCTATTGCAACTGACCGTTTTAAAACTTGGTGGAGTTTGCTCACTTGGTCTCCTTTGCAGCCATTCTTAGTGTCGGTCTAAAGGGGATTTTAGACCGGCACTAAGAACGCCTGCAAAGGAGACTAGCTCACTCTCTGTCATTTGTTGATTTCAAATAAGTTCCACCCAAAAATCCTTTCAGTATCCAGAAAATAAAATATCGAAACAAAGTTGCAAAACTGTCTGTCACAATACAACGACTTTGATTGAAAGTAGTAGTCAGAAATAAATGACAATTAGCAACAATTACTTTACTCTTGTGGCATTTTGTGTTGTATCGATAACAGTGCTTTCACATTTTACGTTCAAACCTTTCAATGTTCAAAAGAAGCCCGAGTTCACGTAGATATGCGTCTAGTTATTTATTTATTCATACACGATCATTATAGCAATACAATACAATACAATTATGTTTCTCTTGCTCATTGGCTTATTCACTCGGGCTGAGAAAATAAGTCACCTGACTTCAGGGGAGTGCCTTTGGCATTGTAGGCTAGAATCCCAGAAATATTGCAAAACTAAGGTTTACACCAACATCAACAACAAGTCGGTTACTGTTTCTTTATTACGTGCGCAAAAAAAAATTTTWAAGAGGTCCCTCCAAAATGATTTTTTTAAAGGGCTCATGCCTGAATTTCGTGATTTGTTTTTTTGTCTTTGGTTCGATTTGGATGGCATCCAACAAAGAAGCACTAGTGAAAGCCGAGACCAAGAATGCAAAACCAACCACTGAAAGTACAAATGGACGGCCTTCTTCAGAACAAGGTTAGCGAATTATACTAGATTTTGTGATCTAAATTCGAACAGTTTTTGAAACCTATCGGGATTTCTTTGTTTTCGCAATTGTAGCATTTCAAATGATCAGTCTTGTTAGTAAGAGACGACAATGCGTATAACGAAAGGCGTTTTCAAGTATCAGTCATATGACTCGGGTCTTGGCTGCAAAAAGCAACCAGAAGCGGAAAATATCGCTGGAGGAGAGATAAATCATTTATTAAATGTTCTACGGCTGGCAGTTGTGAGATTGAATTACATGTACTAAACAAATAATGATGCTAATCTGCTTATACCTGGTTTGCCCTGGTTTTGGCTTCTAAAAGACTTTATCGTTGCAGATTTTTCACAACGACTCGAGCTTCAATTCAATATGCATGCAGTACTCAGTATTCAGACGATAACATTCTTATACAGGCAGAAAATTATGCCTAGTTTACCAAAGATGTATAATAACAAAAGCTTTTAGCGTTAAAAGTCACCCATGCGACGTAACCTTTCGCTCTGAAGCTCTAGCACGGATTATTTATTATCATTTRTATAAAGCATCACCTTTGTCGCCAAAACTTTCAATATCTTGCCTATTGTGTTGGAAAGTAAAACGTGCTGGGTCAGCTGTCACGAGATTTGTATCATCCGGTTGAAGCCAAAAATAACGTCTTAACCGCATAAATTGTTGTCACGTGAAGAATGGGATCTACTCTTGTTGGCTATATAAATGGTTCGCTCAGTCCTCTGAGTCAACGCGGAAAAAATAAGGATGTAAACAGTTGAAAAGTTTAAGAAAGGAGCTTTATTTCGGTAGCAAATTGTCATATATACCTTGACAAGCTACTCGGTGGGCGGCCTCATATTTGATATGGAATTCTGAGTTGTGCTGAGGAGCCGAAAAATGTCCCATTTTTCGGCCTTGTATAAAATTTTTTGGAAAATATTATTCTGGCTTGAGATGGGAAGTTTCGAAGGATTTGATTATGTTTTTATATTTTTCATTAAATGCTGTAAAACCCTTAAAATACATAAAATCCAATGTGACCTCGAAGTAAGTTTAATACTACTTTATACTCTTTACGGTGATTCGTGACTATTTGGTTAAGACAAACTTTAAGCGTGTCAACGTGGACGCTTTACGTAAAAGCCAGGCGGTATAGATTTTCCGAAGGGGTTAGCTATAAATGAAGTCGAGGTCAACACTACAGCAGCAAGTCCAAACAACAACCCATCAGAAGATTTGAACGAAAACATAAAAAGCGGTCGATCGTAGCAAGCTTATAGAGACAAAAGTTATTCCATAGAACTAGAACGCTTTTTCTACGGATTCTTTCAATCGTCATTTCAATAATTTTGCAGTATTTTCACTTTCGTGCATTTTTCTATATTTTTTGTTGAATTGTGCAAACTTTATGAGAAAGTATTGTCATTTTGTTCAGTTAGAATATAGTCCGATTGATTGTGAAATTCTATCAAACTTGATATCATTTAACGTTCATGGGTGATGAGAATGTTGCAAACGATCAGCTTGTTAATTCTTATACAATTAACTGCTTGTGATCAATACACTTTTTATTTATTATTCATTTCTTTTACAGGAGAATTTCCTGAATCGATCAGCACAATGATCAATCACATATATCTATACACCTATAAACATATATTCATAATATATTTACAATAGTGACAGTTGCAGGAGGAGATTTAAGTATTGTTATTTTCAAATTATACACTAATGTTTCAAAAGAGAAGATGCCCGCCATATCCCTGCAATACAAAAAGAAAAGCGCTTTTTTCCCTATAATAGCTGTATGTCAAATAAAACTTATGACTGAAGCTTAAGTGTACAACTCCTTGCTTCGCTTGATTACTTTACACAATGAAAAATTGGTTTGTTTTGTTGGTTTTGTTGTATAAGACTATGATAATATGTAATATACACTCAATTGAAGAATCGTTGTGGGGTTCAGAAACATAGAACATAGAAGCTGAGACCGAACTGGCACATGGGAAGTACATTAATTAGATGCATGCTGTGACCGGCGACCCGTGGCATCATCCACTRTTTTTAATACGCGTTTGGCATTCTGAACCGACTGCATGGATGGCGCAAATGAATAAATTATAATATAATTATGTCATTACCCATGTGCCATTTCGGTCTCAGCTTCTATGTTCTACGTTTCTGAACCCGACAACGATTCTTCAATTGAGCGGTATACAGTATGAGTGGCCGTGTTGTATCCGATATACGAGCTCGAGGCGTAGCCGAGACAGACACGAATACTGTATATTGCTTATCAAACGTCTAGGTTAGTTCCTTTGTGTTTCACTAAAATTTTCAAGATAAAAGTGAATCTGCCCAAGAAAATCCATCTTTTAAGATTATGTCATTCGTGTGAAAATAACACCATTGCGATGGCTATTCAAAAATACACAAAAAGAATTGCCTGAAAAAGCCAAAACATACTTCATTGATAATTATATAATAAACAGAATATTACATGGGCGCTTGGCCATGGAGATACGAAATTTATCTTCTCGTGTTGAAAATCTCTTACTCGTTCGCTGCGCTCACTTGTGAGAGATCTTTTCAATACTCGAAGATAAATTTCGTATCTCCGCGCGCCCATGTAATATCCTCTATATAATCATTTGACATCTATTAAAGTGTCATGTAACAATTATGTTAAGTATTTCCAATATATCTGGACAGCAGCAAAGTAATTTTTTACAAATTCACGGGAAAGGCTTATCATGCACAGCTCCCCACAAATTCTAACTTACAWCCGTTATTAAACACCTGCAATTTATCAGTAATTTCTGTAGCCCTGACTCTAGGTAATTTGGATAAATCACGAGTTATAAGGCGATATTTGTTTGTAAATGTCAAAGAGGACTATCTACGATACTGAAATGCCAAAGTTTGAAAGAGAAATAATTTCTTTATGCAGGCCATGTTTAATCTCAATAAACCATTGTTTTCTTGCCCTTGGTGATCCTCTCATTCGCCTGTATATTTTTTTAGCCCCTTACATTTCAAGGGCGGATACACTGAGGATTTTAAAAAGGGGGATGGGTGATTTAAAAACGTTATTTTGCATGGAGCCTTCTTTTTTGCAGTACAAAGGGGGAAAAATTATTAAATTATAACATACAGCAGTGTACTGCATACTTGTGAATGCAGCTAAATTTCGGAAAGACGAACCAGCAACTCACTCGATTTTAATCGATCCTGATATTTACGTTAATGGTGCAAAAGGGAAGCTGACGTCAACCTTCTTGAGTATATTGCCATTATAATTTTCGCACACCTGGTCTCTAAAACTAATCGAAAGAATAGCATGGTTCAGTGTTGTTGACTCTTGACATATTTTGTAATTAGATGCAATCATATTCCTTCTCTTATTTTCCTAAAAATATTTACTTATTCTCTAAAATAGGGAGGTGCAAATCAACCCAATCCACCCCCCCCCCTCCTTTATCCGCCCCTGTATTTATAGGTTTATCCAGAATATTGTTGCATTCGCCTGAGATTCCAAAGTTGGCTTCCTTTGTTTACTCCTTCGAGTGTTTTGTGGAATATTTAATATTTAATTGATCTTCTAGGGGGACAACCTCCAGAAAAGGGCTCTTTATTGCATTTGGAAGGAAAGGTCGTTTACAGTAAAATATCTCTTCCAAAACCTGATCGAACTAACTTTTCCTTGCCCGCCACCTTTACACTATTTTGGAACACCGCTGACCAGACCGAAGCTGATCGCGGTATCTAAATGACTAATTTTAGTGACAGCTGACCCGGCATATAAATTAATTTAATTAAATTTTATCTGAAACTTATCTCGCCCCTGCACACATTGAGTTACATATAAAACTTTTTCCACGGCGGCGTATCAGCAACATTATCATCAGTAGCATCTGCTGATCCATACTATTGTTTCCTTCTGGAGAAAGTACCAGGTAGGTCTTYTGGAACAACTAAATGGAGTGGCTGTCACTCTAGCTGAGGAAGACCGCCACGATATGCTCAGATGACATAATGTTTTCCCATTTCAGACCATTTGTCATTCCCTAGAGTATCATTTCTTTGTTTAAGGTTTGCGCTCGGTTGCACATGAGAAGACACTTAAATATGGACACAGATCAAACAAAGAATCTTAATCTCAAGGGAATGACAAGTGGAATCGGAAAACATTACCCCAAGCCGAAGAGGTCTATCGTTTTTACTAATATCAAATTCAGCTTGATAAGATACCGTTGCAACGATATGCATCTGTATGCAGTGATTTGAACTTCAATAGACATAAAGTGATCTTATGATTTTTTAATATTTTCAAAGATGATCCTGATGATCCATACATGAATTACCTCTTCCATCCACGTCTTACCTTCAGTGGTACGTTTCAATCTGACGTATCAACGGTCAATAACATCCCAAGCAACTTCGACTCGGCTAACTTTGTCCAAACTAACTACTTGACACATGGCCAACTCTGGAATTCTCGTGGAACTGGAGAATGGAACGTAGACGCTTCTGTGACGCAAGTCTGCTACGTCAATGGAACGTGTGTTGCAGATAATAACGAGGAAGAACCGATATTGGAAGCAACGTTTCAGGGTAGGAATTAATTACTTCATGCTTGAATATCTGGACAAAATAAAAGCGCATTGCGTAACAATTTTATTCAAGAACTTTGCGTGTGACGCTAAATTTGAACAATTATACAATATGTTAAATGCGCCAACACTCGAGTAAGACCATGGAGAGAAAAAATGTACGCCCAACATGTTATTAGAGAAGAGTGCAGAATATTTGGACGCGAACGATATTCGAGCGATATTCGATACGCGAACGTTCTTTTATGTCCCCCATTTTAATGCAGTGATTGACTATTAACGAACTTCCCCCTTATTTTCAGAGGGTGGAAACGAGACGATCGGCAAGATGGTGGATCTAGACACGGAGGCCCAAATGTTCTCTGAGATCTGGGGCTGGAGACTTCGTATCGGAGATTTCTTTTCTGCAGACTTTACTCCTGTTCCATTTCAATACATCTGGCCAAAAATWGTTGATCCTGGAACACTATCTCCATTCGGATCAGCTTACCAATCTGTGTTGTCAAACATAAGATGGATAGATGATAATGCTAACTCTCCTTTGATAGAGGAGTGGAAAAAGATAATGAAGAGCGACAACGTGGAAAGTGATAAATTGTCCATACGTTTCAACGTTGATATGTACGAACTAGACCCCCAAAATAACAATTTTACTTATGGACGTGTGACAGGTGAGATGGCTCTCATTGCGCAATTGTCGAGATTTTGGGGATCCGTTGTTTTCTGGGAAATAGTTTGACGATTAGTCAGTGAACTTTATTACAATTTTAAGAAAAAGATAACAAAAATATTTTATGAAAAGAAAGAGGTCGTAAATGTTTTCTTATGCTTTGGCGACTCAGACAAACACGGACGTCTTCTCGTGCTTTAGATTCCGTCTAATTTATTTATTATCATATATATGATTTTTTGCTTTTTAAAAAAGTTATTAAAGTTTTAAGTTGGAACGTYGAAATGTCGGTTGACGTTTTACCGCATAAAAGACGAAATACTAAAACAATAAGTATAAAATATCGCTGAGGAATTCTTTTGGCTGTACGCACCAAAGCCATATCTATTAATTCACCTTTAAGTAACGTGCCCGATTAGTATGTTTAAGGCTTCAATAAATAAGTCGCTTTCACATAAAATTATTTTCGAATTTTTTATCATATGACCTTTAAAACGATATATAGTTTTATGGGGTTTTCTTTAACGTGTTGCGTAGAGAGAGTTTAAATGAAACATATCCAGTAACCTTAATTAAGTTGTGCATTTTTCAATGCATCTAAGGCCCCGTCCACACTATGGATTCGGATTCAAATTTATCCGGCATAGTGTGGACAGGGCCTAACTGGCTATACGGTTATAGAAAGTATCGGTTATCGGATATAGGTACCGGTTTTCCTAATATCGTAACGTTTTTATTTTAATCCTGTAGGCTCCATTGGATTGCTGGGAATCAAGTCTCCGCCATTTTTCTCTCACGGTCGAATGCTTCATGCTAAATCCCCAAACGTTCAGAACGCACCATTTATTGTCGATAAAAAGAAAAAGAAGGCCTATATAGACTTTGGCAACAGCCTCCAGATAACCAGAAATGGCAGTTTTGACACCATGGATCTGAACAACTTGTATGTTGGCTTACCTTTAGATCTGTCCGAGACGTCACTGAATATAACTTGTGATAACAAGTTCGTGTGGCTGGGTATAGTAAATCAAACCGCCCCCAATTGGTACAGAAACTATGCTGGGATTCAATCCTTCCCAGTGATGAGAGCATTTTCAGAACGTGAAATTAATATGCTTGGAAGCAACCCGTTTGTTGTTGTAAAGGTGAGGAAATCTATACCAACTCTTTTGCGATTTCTTTCTTTCTCTAWAAGTAGTTTTCTTGACTTGTTTGAAAATCTTACATTGACCAAGAACTCTCTGAAATTGTGCAAAAACCGTGTACTCAGAGATAYGTTACCTTTCTTGTTCCTCTAAAACTCTTGTCCAACTCTACAGTTCTAAGCGTGTGCATATCTTATTTATGTTTGATTTAGGTTACTGGGGAATGGCCAGCGTTAGTTTGTAAGGAGATAGTACTTGCAGAAGATATTAAGGGTTTTGATATTCACCCATACGACGACTGGACCATGCATAAAGAACCTGAAGAATCGGTTAACGTTAGAGTCATTGCTACGAAATTTGGCGAACCTCTTYCTAATGTGAAAGTACATTTCGAAGCCAATGACTGCCCCAACATTTTCGCAGACGGACCACCTGTTGCCGTGCCCCCAATACCGCCACCCGAGGATGTCTTGACAAATTCAGAAGGCATAGYCGAATTCAAAATTATGACAAAAGATCCCAAAAGTCCAAGAGATTACATTGATGGACAGCTTTATCCATACACCTACTCTATTAATAATGAAGAACATCCTAAAAAGAATTTCTCTTTGATGTGCAAAATAGATATGTTTGAKCTGCTCAATAATTTGATCGTCATTGCAGTTTGGGACCAATATGGTCCTGTTTCAGAACCAACATGGCTTGATCACGTTTACCCAATATTTAAGCAATACGCCAATCTTTACCCGGTCATGACGGAAAACATCGTAGACTTGGGCAACTACTACGAGGTTACGGAGCGTAAGAAAGCCATACAAATGAGTATGGAATTGCCAATCTCTCATCCTAACTACATGCCTGTAACACGGGATCTTTCGCCTTCGAAAAGTAAAGTAATCTTGGACTGGCTTAAGAAAGACGACCCTCCGACTGGTAAACCAAAAGAYTACTACACAGTTGAGAATCTTCGAAGGGACTTACAGACAGCCTTGCAGCTGGAACAAGCCACAATTCCTCCATATTTGACAGCCTTGGCTTCTATTAAATATAACTATAATGAAGATGTACAAAGCATTTTAAGGTCCATTGTCATTCAAGAAATGATGCATATGAACTTGGTGGCCAACATCCTGAATGCAGTGGGTGGGAGTCCCATCTTTCACTCGAAGGATTTCGTTCCATTTTATCCCTCGCGTCTCCCTGGAGGAATCCAACCTGACTTGGTCGTACCGATTGAAAAGGTTTCTATTAATCTCATAAGAAACGTTTTCATGACGATTGAACAACCAGGAGTGACTCAAGAAAGAAAATCGTCCTTCAACTYGATGTTTGATTTCGTTGAGAAGCTAAAGTGCTCCGGGGTGTCTAAATACTCCAATCAAGAGAGTTGCATAGTAAAACATCAGACGTCTGAAATTGTCGACCCACTCATTGACGGAGATTACGTTCCTTGTCTGGTTCAAGGATTCGAAGAGGATTCTATAGCAAGTACGTCTTACAATTTAGCCCCATCTTCCAGCCTCTTTAAACTTATTCAACTTTAAATGAACTAGGCATAACAATAAAGTTGTTCTTCCCTTGGAAACTTTCTTTCTCGCGTAAATTAGATTAGACCAGATTCAACTGTTCCTGCCTTCTGTCATGGCTGCTATCACGTAATGGTGCAAAGCCTCTATATTGGTACWTTTTTAACTGGAATTTTGATCATAAGAATTATTTGAATAAAAATTATAATGATATTAGGTGTTTTAAATGATTGGAATCAAAAACGTCATATACTAGGTCTCTWTCAACAATTTCTCTTTCCGGGCAACATATCAGAAAAACTGATCGTGTCCAAAGTCGTTGACCAAAAATTACATAGTTAACTTTTATTTTAGTAATACTGCAAGGCAAAGTGTTCCTACCTTCACTTTGTGCTTTTTGAACTTTTTAAGAAAGTGGTCGAAGCTAGAGACAACTCTTGTTCTCACATTAAGGAACCATTCAATTTTTCTAGAACACATGTTATTTTTCTTTGTACAATATCATTCTTTGTTTGTGTCATACGCATCTTTATAAGTCCTTACAAGTTAGTTAGTTAAGCCCTACACATTATTTGGTTGTTGTTTTTTTTTTAGATTTCAAGCTACGTCAATATGGAATGTCCCGAAGCAGAGCAAACAAAAAAGACAAAGACTCAAAGGTGATTATAAAATATAGCTATCATAATTATTATATGTACGTCCTTATAGCGCAATTAGGTGATCTAGATCTTAACAGCTCAGCTAATCTTGCATGACCTCCATGAACGGCGATAACCTGGGGTTAACATTTACCAAAAACCGGAAATTGCAGTTGGTAAAACAAATTCATTCCGATCGTAAATTGTACGGAAACTTAGTCTTCCGATTGATTTGATCCACTTTTCCCGCTTTTTTCGCTTCTTCCAGTAGACTGCGTACATTATTACATATATTTAATCACAGGTAGCCCAAGCTTGGTTTCTGTGGTGTCCTGTTATAAGGACATGTATGGGGATTCATCAAAAAAGTCAATAAAATCATTGAAATGTGAAATAAAACCTCGAAATTTTACCCTATCATTGAGAAATAACACTTCTTTCGCTCTGCGTGGTTATTTTTTGAATTTAGCCCGTTTTAAGATTTTTTCCCCCCACCAGTAAGAAACACTAAATTCAAAAAATAACCACGCAGAGCGAAAGAAGTGTTATTTCTCAATGATAGGGTAAAATTTCGAGGCTTTATTTCACATTTCAATGATTTTATTGACTTTTTTGATGAATCCCCATACATTTCCTTATAACAGGACACCACAGAAACCAAGCTTGGGCTACCTGTGATTTAATCATTATTAGCACAATCATTTTTACCTTATTTGCACATATTTATTTATTTAATTTATCTTGCACTTACACTGGAATTTGCTAGATGTCCTTTTGGATTTTACAAATAAATTATGTAGATGTAGATGTGAAAGTCAAAGTGATATGCACAATAATAGATTAATATACTATCTATACTAAAAATATGCTCAGTGTGCGCAAACGTAGCGAAGCAACTAAACAATTCTAAAAATTCATTTGTAGRACAAAAAATTCTTTCCTAACTACCATTACGAGTACGAAAGGCATCACAACACAATCGGTGACTTCTACAATCACATGCTGAATTCCTTGGGATACCTCACAGACTGTGGAAAAAACAACAGCATCTTCACTGGTGACCCAAATCGGCAAGTTGACTTTACGCACTGGTCAGTGCATGGCCGTTCTTTGAATGTTACTGACTTTGTTTCAGCTGTAGAAGCAATTAAACTGATAGTTGAACAAGGYGAAGGAAGCTCTCCGTGTAATCCAATGGCATGGAGCAATGGAACAGTGAAAGATCTTTCGCACTATTTTCTTTTCTATTCGATCGCCGAGAAGCGTGAGRTCCAGGTGTTCAATAAACACCATCAGGAGGGAACTGGAACTGACCAAAGTACAAAAGTTAACTACGAAGGGGTATGATGCAATGTTGATAGTGATGGATCATTACTATATTTTGTAATTCTTTATGATTTTTGTAATAGCGCCCTTTTTATCAGTTGAGTTGCGATTTGTTGCAACAAGTGCTGTCCATGTTAACGTTCAATGGAACAATGTCAGCAACAGTGGCGTATTCAGGATTTTGAGGGGGTTCCAAAATGGCCGACACGCAAAAAAAGCTGGTAGCTGCGAAATTGGCTTCATAAGGGGGGGGGGGTTTACAATTTCATTCTACTGGGCCGCTTAAAGAACATGATTGGCTTCCCAAGATCTCACAAAAGTGGGTCCTATGTAAGGAACCATCCCTGGATCCGCCACTGGCCATCAACTGGTGTCTTGGTGTCTAACTTGTCTTGCAACATGGATTCGCGACTTTATTATAGTAGTTTCCTGGTTGGTTTGGTTTTCAGTCTATTATTCTCCCCAGTCAAGTATTTTCTGAAACCGAGTTGAATTGGCTACTATTTGCCTCGGTTCCAGAGAATACATATAACTTATACACATTTTAGGATGTAGTCGGAGAATATCTTTTGGAGTCTGAGGTATTTTGTCAAGCCCATCAGCGCAAGAAAAAATATGACGAGAAAAAAGGCCACTCTTATTATGAAGATGAATATACATATGTACTTATTTCAATAAAATTAGTCACCAAAAACCTAGAAAGCTGTGATCGCTGAGAATCATGAGGAAATGTTTYCTATCCAACAAGTAAAGCTTTTGACACAAACTGCAGCAGTTGAGGATGCTCAGAGGAGGTTAACTTGTAACTGGTAGAAGATCTCAAGTCCATCAACAGTTATCAAGCGGTTGAAACATGTAAAATGTATATACCCATAATCCTTGCCGGTCTCAGCTTTGTAGCTTTTCTGGTGACTAACTTTATTGAAATAAGTGTATATATAATGATATAACAACCAGTGTTTCTTTTTTCTCTCCAATTAGTGTAATGGTACCTACTTCTTCACGGGACCAAAGATACCATTCGATCCAGACGGTGTATGGCCAATGGTGCCAAATCCCAAAATGAMCAAATTCAAGGAAGGCACTAAGGCTTACCTGAGGGCCGATAAGTTCAACAAGATCTACACCAAGWTGCTCAAGTCACTAGAAAATGTGTTCAATGGCCATCCCGAGAGTCTTAAAGATGCTCTAGGGCTGATGTTCTCAGTGAATCTTCATTTGAAGAAACTCGTTAGTACGCCAATCGATCCCGATGGTGACCCGGATGTTGGACCAAATGCTGGTCCGCCCTACGACTTCGTACCTTAGAGGGATGGAATGGGTTTAGGACTGTTGGAAGGTGGATTTAAGGTGTATATCAAGAAACATTTTTTTCTTTCAAAATCACTTATATGTGAATAATGTAGTAGTATGGTTGCAGTATTTTTGTATGTAAAATTTTCTTTTAGGAGATATAAACATT